TCCCACGATTCCTGGGAATCCAAGTTCCAATCGTTGTCAGTCCATCCCTTGGGATCTTCTTTACAAAGGTCAACGGTATCCACCGGTTGAATGGAACACTCTTCAGGATTCCAGCTCCAGAACGAGTAGTTCAACACGAAGTTTCTCACCGGCATATCTCTAGACAATATGTTCTGGTCTATGGTAGAAGGGCCAAATCCACGGACCCAGCCTGCCCAATTCTCGTAGTAAATAACAACCAAGGGAGCGTCATCTGATACTGTACCTTCAGCAACCCTAGCAGCAGATAACCCTGCAAGAGCGCAAATAGTTGTAAGGGCCTTCATCAAATTAAAACCTGAATCTATTAAACTTCAAATCATCAACGTATGGGCCGGCAAGACGGGACGTCATCCGGATGATGAGTACTCCGATTGTCCCTTCAACACACGTGCTTCCGTCAAATTGTTTAAATAACCTAAAATCAGTTAAAAATACCGGTAAAAACGTTTCTAATGTCTAACCGAGTCTGCAGAATGTCTGCTGGCCGATGACACACTGAGCCAATGCATCTGCCGTGGACGCTCCAGGACACCAGGGAGCCAGTTCACCTCCAGGGCCATAGGAAGCACAGTACCCTTTGCACGTATCGACCCATTGGGATTCCGAAGTCAATAAGTTCTGGCAACCGGATACGGCGTCTCCACCACCGTTACCACTCGCCGGTGTGGTAGCAGGAACGGGAGCCGGCGTGGTAGCAGGAACGGGAGCCGGTGTAGTAGTAGGAACCATTGGGGCGGCCGTCGTGACTATCGCTGGCGGCTGGTAGGGAGTGGTAGTAGGAGCGACGGGGGCGGGCGTCGTAACGGGAGGCTGATACGGAGTGGTTGTAACAGGTGTAGGAGTGGGAGGGTTGTTCGAGCTTCCAGAAATGGGATGGATCATCATCTTGTTTTGGCCAATCTGACTTTGGGTCCCGGAGCCGCTAGCTTTCAGATACGTTCCTGAAGCAGGGTAGGACTGACCCGCGCATCTTGACACATCAATGGGCTGGTCGCTGCTAATGTACAGGTTGGGAATCAAGGGACACGGGTACGACGCCCATTTGGTGATCGGAGAGAAGGAGTAGCTATTCTGCTTCGAAGCCCCTATAGTGACGGGGGATCCATTCCAGCCTTCAAACAAGCCTGCGAACAGCTCGGCAGTTGAGTCCGGACCCCACGATTCTCCGCTTCCCACATCGGAGGCGGCCCAGATGATGGCTCCGGCCATTCCCTTGCTCCTAGCCCATTCCATCTTGTACTTCCAAGACTCAGCATCCTCGTAAGTAATGAACACATTCTGCTGAGACCTGTCAACAGGGCCGGTAGCCGTGTCATAGGGGATCGAACCACCGCTTGGCATCGTGTCACAATAAAGCGTAGGGGTTTTGGACACGTCGTCCCACGTACGCGTGCAAGCCGGAACAACATTGTGGAGCAGATCGAACCAGGACACTGTGCCAAGCTCCCAAGTACCTCCCGCAGGGTAGGTGGTGGCAGTGGAACTCTGCCATAAGCCAGGTACGTCACCCGTCTTCGGAACTCCTTGCCACGACTTACCATAAGTAGCCAGTCCCATCGTGAGCTTGTACGGCTTCGAGCAGCGAGCCAAAACCTTCTCAACAGACGCCTGAATAGACATCTGGTCCGCCGGGGCGCTCGGGTTAGGGTAGAGCGGCGCCAGTGGCCCCGTAATAGCCGCCCACGGCCCAAAGAAATCGTACGTCATCAAGTTTACCCAATCGAACACGTCTTCGTCACAGAAGAATTCAACAGGCATGGGCGTGCTCCAAACATCGTTGTTGCCGTCAATGATCTTCGGGTTCATTCCAAGAGCAGCTGTCATGTACAAGCGGCGGCCTAGTTGATCTTCCAGCTCATTAAACTTCGCACGAAGTTGTGTGGTGAAATCCTTGTATCGATCCCAGTCTCCGGCACCGCCCTTGTTGGACAGACCGGTCTCCGGCTTGCACACGGCTTCCCCCTGGCATCCACATGGAGCTCCATCGCAGTTGGGATACTCCCAGTCAAAGTCAACACCATCCCATCCGTACACAGTAACGAAATCGATAACAGATTGGAGCATGACTTCAGGCTTGTTGATTAGGCAATCATGGTAAGTCCCCGACCTGGACCAGCCTCCAACGGAGGGCATAAGCTTGATGTAGGGATACTTAGCCTTCAGCATCATGAAGGCAGGCAAAATACCACCTGCGGGCTTACTAGTCTCCCACGACTCCTGGGAATCCAAGTTCCAATCGTTGTCAGTCCATCCCTTGGGATCTTCTTTACAAAGGTCAACGGTATCCACCGGTTGAATGGAACACTCTTCAGGATTCCAGCTCCAGAACGAGTAGTTCAACACGAAGTTTCTCACCGGCATATCTCTAGACAATATGTTCTGGTCTATGGTAGAAGGGCCAAATCCACGGACCCAGCCTGCCCAATTCTCGTAGTAAATAACAACCAAGGGAGCGTCATCTGATACTGTACCTTCAGCAACCCTAGCAGCAGATAACCCTGCAAGAGCGCAAATAGTTGTAAGGGCCTTCATCAAATTAAAACCTGAATCTATTAAACTTCAAATCATCAACGTATGGGCCGGCAAGACGGGACGTCATCCGGATGATGAGTACTCCGATTGTCCCTTCAACACACGTGCTTCCGTCAAATTGTTTAAATAACCTAAAATCAGTTAAAAATACCGGTAAAAACGTTTCTAATG